ACTAGTTTCTTATATAAGATTCTTATCACTATTCTACGCACTCCTATCGACTGGCTTATTAAGAAATTCATAAGATACCTATAGAAATCCTACATAACGCTTGATCTCTAGGCTAAATGCTGAAAGTGCTTGTCCGTATAGAAATAGAAAATCTCCTGGGTTATCGAGTGTGCTAGTTTCGACAAGCACTTTTCAGCAGCTCAACATCAACTTTATTTTTTTTATTCCGGTGATATGATTCATTTTTTCCTTATGAGAAATCTCAAGCTTCCTAGTATCGTAGATTTTCTTCAGTTTTAAGGACATCATTTTGCCACAAAAGTTCTTTTCATTTTGAAGTACAGCCATAAGTTCTGCTACTGTTAATTGAAAAAAACAGTGGTATTTCCATTTTTTGAAGAACTCTCTTAATGCAATCTGTTATGTCTATAAAAAGAAAATTACAGAGGTATAGAGGGATTCGACATGAAATGATCAAGCGTATGATCTTATAAGATCATATAACATCTTGTACTTTCTTATAAGGTTGTATAATTTCTTACAGCTTCTTTCTGTAGGGTCATACAAGATCTTGCGCACTCCTGTCATAAGAAAATCTTGTAAAGTCTTATAAGAATCTTACTACAAGATGTCATATGAAATCTTGTAAGACCTTATAGGAATTCGATAAGAATTTATAAGATCTTTTGAAATCTTGTGATTTCTTATCATAAGATCCTCCAAGATGTTATATGATCTTGTACGACCTTGCAAGCTCTTGTTATCTGATTCTGGGTCCTTTTAACCTTGGTTAAGCTAGTCAAAAAAAAACCATTTTTGCTTGGATTATAATGTGTGATCTACTCCCAGCGATTGTTCTAGCTTATCTCAATCAAAATAAACAAATTTTTCCGTCTTAGTCCACAGCTACGTATCATACAAAAAAGAAAGTTGTTAGATTATTCGTTAGATGCCATCTTACTCAGATTTCATTTCCGGTCTAGGTAGGCATATATTACTATTTATATATTGCTTGTTAGATTGTCCTTAAAATTACGTTCATTCGTTTGTAGATAACTTTTCATGTCAACTATGAAGAGTAGCGCTGCTGACTGTGTGAATAATTTATTATTTAAAGACCTGTAGTCATTTTTTTTAATACTAACTTATAGCACGCCATATTGTTCCTTAATTGTAGTATGTGTATCTGCTCTGCATTTGTTCAACGATATATAGAGGCTTTGCCGAACAACGTACGAATGAGAGTAATGGATATGGTAGAAGAAATGACCAATTATTCTGGTAAGAAAAATAGAATAGTGTAAAAATAGCGAAAAGAGCTAAAAATAAGATATTTCTCGTTACTCTGTTTTATTTTTCTGTCCACTATTTTATATTTTTCTATATCATTCATTTTTTATCTTTTATTTACAGAATAGACTAATATATACAACATACTTTGCTTTTCTCAAATCGCAATGAGACGGTATTTAGACACGTTTGCTCTTCTATACTTTGACGTAATAAATAAACTGACTGTTATGTTTAGAGTGAATCGAATACCAAAGTTTGGCGAAGGGGATTACACTGCTCAAAATCAATCACACGAAAATAAATTATGGACAGATTTAAATATAACAGGCGAAGAAAAAGCCAGCATGACTGCAAATAAAATCGAATTGATTTTAAGAACTGTGGTAACTTTTTAACTTCTTTATATATGTTTTTCCACCTATCATCATCCGAATAATTTCTACCACTTTACAGTTCTTTGCTGACGAGGGTACCTTTTGAGGTTATAAATCGCTTTTGAACACAGACTACTTTTATCTTGTAGATCTCAGTGAGTAATGAAACACCCTAAGTTGGTTTGTGCCCATGGTGCTTTGTTGCTGAGCTACTGAATTTTTAGTCAGTTTTTGCCATAGGGAGTAGATTTCGAGCAAAATCCGACTTTCGAATTTTGATTTCAAACTTGCCACACTTGTTAATTGAAAAAAACAGTGGCATTTCCATTTTTTGAAGAACACTCTTAATGTAATCTTTTATGTCTATAAAAAGAAAATTACAGAGGTATAGAGGGATTCGACAGGAAATGATCAAGCGTATGATCTTATAAGATCATATAACATCTTGTACTTTCTTATAAGGTCGTATAATTTCTTACAGCTTCTTTCTGTAAGGTCATACAAGATCTTGTGCACTCTTATCATAAGAAAAATTCATCATAAAAATCCTATCATAAGAAAAGTCCATGGTCATAGTAGTGCGACGGAAAAATATTCGATGCTAATGAATTTTCCTGCCTTGAGATATTGAGACTCGAACATTTCACCCGAAGGTAAGGGTGAGGGTCAAATATTCGAGGCTCAATATCTCAAGGTAGGGAAATTCATTAGCATCGAGTATTTTTCCGTCGCACTACTATGACCATGGACTACAAGTGTGGCAAATTCGAAATCAAAATTCGAAAGTCGGATTTTGCTCGAAATCTACTCCCTATGGGCAAAAACTGACTAAAAATTCAGTATCTCAGCAACAAAGCACCATGGACACAAATCAACTTAGGGTGTTTCATTACTCACTGAGATCTACAAGATAAAAATAGTCTGACTTCAAAAGCGATTTATAACCTCAAAAGGTTCCCTCGTGAGTAAAGAATAAAGCATAGTAACACATTTGTTTTTTCTTTCACTTCCGCTGTTTGTGAATAATGGAATGCCATAACTCAAATTCAAATTTAGGATGCGATCAGTCATATAGTCGCTTTTTCCATTGAGTCAGCTGTCATACTCATTGATGTATACTCTGTTTGTTTATCATCTCACGTTTTGTTTAATTCTTTCTCGTATAGCGTCATTTGCAAGAGACGAATGCCAAAGAAGCTATTGATATTCTTCAATCTTTTCTTCAATTATCCAACATGTTACCGTTTTTCAAATACTTCTATTTGTACCCAACACTTCCCGTTTATCGTCACGAATTTCTTCAATATCAAGTTGATTTATTAAAAAAGTATCATTTATCGTCACAATCGTTGATATCCTTCAGTTCGAAAATCCCACTCTCCACCGCAACTCAACTAGAACAAAATTTTCAGTTGATATTTGATACATTATCACAACTGATGCCATTCACAGATGTTATAAATAGTCTGATATCGATTAGAAGTACATTCATTGAACAGATAATCATACACCAGTATAAAAAAGGTAATACGATTGTTAATCAATCATTTATTTTGGCAAAATATAGAAGTGTCACAGTTACTGTTACTTTTAGTTGCAAAGAAAAAGTTATCGGTTGCAATTAAGCTACAGACATACTATTACTCTCGTAACGGTAACTACTGAGTTTTCCTTTACGAATTAACTAGTAACTATCAAGTTACTTCAAAGTTACTTTTCTAGTTCTTTTCTTGTATACTTTATTGTACAAAGTACAAATAAAGAATTCAAATTTTCTGCTTATTATCATAACATATCATATTTATTGCCGAGTAAGAGTAAATACTGTAGTTTTTAGTCTTCTTCATAATTACTTTTAACGTTCGGTTTTGTCTGTTGAGCAGACAAAGACTGGCGATATAAAAAAATGAAACATTTTTGTTAAAAAAGCAAAATAACGAAAAGTAATTAAAAACTATTTACTGTTACAAGAATAACGGATAACTGCTACATGAGAATATAACGGTAACTTGACATTTCTAATAGACTAAGCATATTCAAAGATGGTTTTGTTCATTAATTCAAATAATCGAGAGTGATTCGAAAAAGACTATCTGTTTTTAAACAGTTTAATGTTTTATATTAATATTTTCGTTCATAGATCAATATAAATGGCCAGAAAAATGTGTTTATTTATCTCATTTATTTGAAATATGTTTGAAAATCATCCATCATGATCTGATGATAATTCGTTCTATTGCTCAAGAGAATTATGTTGAACATTATTTAAAATTAACGATATTAAAGCATTTTCAAGCTCTATTTAAAGAATTTTATGAACAATTTTCAGTAAAAGTAGCAAAATCTACATCAACAACCCATGTGGAATTGGCAGATATTAAACACTTAGCAATGTTAATCGAAAATTTTATAAAAATAGAAGAACTGATAAATGATCAAACATTTCAAGTCGGAAAAAAGTATTTTCGAGGGCAAGTAGGTATGAAGAAAAAAAGTGTTCATCTTTTGTTTTCTCCTTCATTTCATTTTTGTAGTCTATATCATAGAATAGTTTATGTATAAAAAATAATTTTTTTATCTATTCTATTTATAGGAAAATAAAACAGAATATGTGCAAAATTCAATCAAAGATTCTTTTTGGTATACAACGATCAATTTGATCAATGAACAATTTTGTCAAATAATACTTTCATCTATCCGATCTATATGTGGTGGTAAGACTACTTTCTATAGAAAAATGTAGTATGTTCAACATTTATTGACCATTTTGTCTTAGAACTTATTGCTGACAAAAACATTTTTAAACAATTTGAATCTATTGATAAATTAGTAGAATATACTCCACAACCAAATGGAATTGTGACATTCATTTATCCTGTGAGTTTGTCTATTATTCATTTTTTTTTTATCGATAAAGTCTTAATTTCTTTGCTTAGGATATATGCAAACTAGTAACACTATTGAATGAGTATAAACATGCTATAGATGAGTCCAATCAAGTATTTGCATCCACCATTGAAAAACAACGTTTCAAGGAGAAATTTATCGAAATAATCAATGATTACATTTTCAAATTATACAAGCAAACATCCAAAGTAAGAGTCATCGTCATATTATTTACTGCAGTTAAAAACTATTAGTAATAAAGAGATGCTGACATCGTTGAATTAGTCTAGTGATACCACTGAAAAACGTTGAACATACAGTTAGGGGTGGGACAATTCCAGTTCAGCTCTTGTTGAACGCAAACTGCTTATCAGTTCTTCTTTGCAAAAATTAAAAATAAAATAAAACTGATGAACCTAGTTACATTGACTTAGTAGATGGTGCGTTTAGTTGACTAAACCAAGTCAATATAACTAGCTACATCGATTTTATTTTGTTTTGAATTTTTGATAAGAATTAGTAACCAGTTCCTGTTCTTTTGAAAAGAATTGATACCAGTTTGCGTTCAACAAGAACTTAACTAGTAACCAGTTCTTAGGAACACTACATACGGTAGTTTATAAATATTTATAATTCTTAACTTTTTTTGGTCAACCAGCGAAAAACCGTTTATAAATCAAAAATTTATAAATAAACGTTTCAGGGTTCGTATTTATCCTGTTTTTATATGAGAACATTCTGTTTTTTTGAAATTTTCCTGTATTGTGGCGTTTTTCTGCAGTCTGACTGTTTACTATGGTAAAATCTGTTAGAAAGTCTCTGCCTCTTATGTGAATCGAATCAGTCAGCTAGATATCTAGACAGCTAGAATCTTACTTCAGTGTCTTTTATCGTTCAGTCAACCAGGAGAAGAAAAGACTAATATAAATGACGTTTCCAGAATCAAGTTCTAATGTGAATTTCAAACTCGTTTTACTGTCAAAGTTTTTCTTGCAAGACCATAGTTTTATTCTGTGGCCAAAATTTTCATCGGAACCAAACAATTTTCTACAGAAACGGCAACAAGACAGACCGATTTCATCCATCTCTAGTTATTTTACCTATAAAAAAACGAGGAAGATGGAAGAAAACAACAATAAACTGGACAGGTTATAGGTTCAAGTGAATTTTTAGTTTATGTCTAGCAATACATTATGTAATACATTATGATAAATCTCATTTGTCATTTTTCTGCATTCGATTATTTTTTGTATTTTTGGAAAAAAATTATTAATTTTCCTGTTTTTCGAACGAGAAAAATCCTCTCCTGTTTCTCTTTTTTGAAAGTGGATAGTACGAACCCCGACGTTTATAAATTGATTTATAACTAATTCGGACTCTTCAGTAAGTGATATTTTATCTCAATATACTTTTAGTCTAAGATATCTAAAAGAGCTAGTCATTCACATAGATGTTCACCATTTCTGTTTAGGTATTTGTTCAATATCCTGAAACATTTTCTCTCGATCATTGTTGTGCAGTATTATCATCATTCTGTGTTATACATTCTACATTAGATTATCTTTTATCATCTAATATTCATTATAAATTGATAGTTGAATCAAATAATTTATATTTTTATGAATTTATTCGCCAATTTTGTGATATTATTTTATCAAATTGGCAATTAAAATTAATTCAAGATGTTGATGCAGGTGATTGGTCAAATTCAAAATCTTATTACGAAGATACTCGTTATTCAATTTATATTGATAGTCTATTTCATCATATATACCGATTACAACAATATTTACAAAAATATTGTTCATTATTAACTTTATACATAGTTCCTTATCTAATTACAAAACTAATGCAATTCTTTAATGAACGATATTCATCTGTACGTGCATCATATTCAAGACTTAATCAATATCGAACAGATATTTTAGCATTTCTCATGTACACAAGTGAATATTTACATTATTTCTTAACAAAATCAGAATTATCCAATAAAAATTAGTAAGTTTGTTTATTGGTGTATGTAACGAGTGTTCCATAAAGAATGATTCATTGTATTTTCTCAATAACTTTGTCAGTTTTCATCGAACGAATGTTTGTTTTTAAAAGATTCATCGTTCAATTCTCTATCAAACCTTAAAAAAGGTTTTTGTTCTAAATTCAAAACTAAAAAAATTATTGTAAAAAAAATGAAAAAATCCGAATTTCTTTGCGTTTGTGCTCAGAGATACGGAACAGGAAAAAAAATAAGTGAACCATTTTGTAAAGTTTTCAAAGCTCTATCTTCCTGGTGCGTTTCAAAATTTTTGGAGCAAAATCCTGTCGCACAAAATTTCCTTTTGTTTTTTTGTGTTTCAAAAAACATCGCATTCAAACGGTGGTTATGGCTCTTCTCGGAAAATCGACGTAAATACAACCGTTTAAGCCAAATCTTTTTTGTTTGAAATCTCATGAGTTGCACTACGAGAAGCCATGCTTAGGTCAAACAAAAATGACTTTTTTTCCGTCAGGTTCAAATGTCAAGACGAAAATTATCAGTTTTCGATGTGGCAAGCAAAAAATAGATTTTGCTTCACTGATTTTGAGCGAAACGTCTTTACTTTTATACGATCAGAAATAGCACAGTTCTTTTGTACAGTAAATCATAATTTAATATTTTTTCAGATGAGCTTTATTGCCGAAAAAACTAGTAAAACAGTTTATATGTTCAAGCTTGAAAGTTAGACATGTTGGACTTCTTCATTAGTTTTGTAATCACTTTTTTGAGTGTAGAACAAAAATCTTTTTACAGTTTGATAGCGAATTGAACAATGAATCTTTTTAAAAAAACATTAGTTCAATTTGATGAAAACTGACCGAGTTATTGAGGAAATACAAAATACCCATTCTTTATGGGGCACTCAGGTATGCACCTGTTACAGTTTTTTACCAGTTAACTGTAACTGTGAAAACTGTAACTGCTCATAACTATAGACAAATATTCTAGAATGAGTCAGTCTTCTACGATTTAAATACAGTTAAGAACAGAGAGATCCTTAAAATGTATGTCTAAAATATTTGTCTACAATTATGAGCAGTTACAGTTATGACAGTCATAGTTTTACAGTTAGCTGTAACTGATCCATGCCTGGGCACACTTATTACATGAGATGGTAATAACAGTTTGAAATTCATCTTATAAGTGATGAGTGTAACGCAGAGAAATATGACTTTTTTCATTTGATTGTTTATTCTTTTCTTTTTTTTTTTGTTCTAGTGAAAATCTGTATGAATTATTTATTTCGTATGGCAATTCGTTATTAGCCTCATTAGCACTTGTTTCATCACCATGTGATATTCTCTTAGAAAATTTAAAAGAAATAATTCATCAAATACCTACTACCAATACTATGTCGTATAATTGGTTACATATTATTCGTTCAGATTGGTATTCTGATACACAGATGAAATCAAATGTGCAAATATTACAGAAATTAAAATTTATAATAACTGTCGGTATTCGTTCATGGTCAATGCTTAGCGAGATATTAACGAATAATATCACAAGTAATTTATTTGTTGAAGATCGTGAATTATTATCATATAAAAAATCATTTATTTACATGGTGACGTTACATGAAAATGAAAATGGTTGTAGTATAATATTAGATCACATAATTAGACATGAAAAGGAATGGACGTTTCTAAACGATACAAAACCAACGTTAAAAGTACGTAAAATATCTGATAATATTTTTTTCATCTAACTTTCAGCTTCGACTAGGTTGAAGACACTTTCTGCATGTCATATTTTTACTCCAAATTTGAGAAAAAATAGTTCGTACTTGACTCCAATTTTTGAAAAAAAATTAGAATTGTCCATTTGAGACAGGATGCTCTCCATCATTTTCTTAAATAACTATTGACAGAAAAGAGCTATCGAGTTGTGGTTCTAGTATGCCCGAGTAATGTTGAAACTAAAAATGTCGAAAAAAAGTTCAAAGGCGAAAAGTGTAAAACCTTAATGAAGTTGATGTTGCTGGGGAAAGGAAAAATGGGCAAAAAAATCTTTTTAATCAAAGAAAAAGTAGAAAGAGTCATGACAAATAATCAAAGAACATGGAATGAATATAGGATATAAGAGAACAGTTTAAAAAATAAAATATAACAGTAATAAATTGATCATCGCTTTGCTATGGGACAAAAAAGAACAGTTATAAAGAATAGAAAAAAAAAATATTGTATACAATCAGTAATTTAACAAAAACTATCAAACAATCGACCATTCCTTTTTTTTTGTTTTATCTTTAGTAACCACACATGATAAACCTTCTAAATTTATTTCATCATTTTTATAACGATCAGCAAGAGTATCAATACGACGTTGTACACAATTTGTCTTTTTTGTTTTTCGTCTTCCAGTTGCATCAGCTTGCATTTGTATCACTTGCTGACGAAAATATACTTCTTGTCTTAAGGGGGGGAGGGTCTCCCACACGTTTTTTTTACCAGTTTGTAGAGAACACTTTGGAGTATACGTCTCAACAAAGTTTTCAGTTTCCGGATTTGTAGTTTTGGATAAAAAAAATTTCGAAGGTTTTCTCGGATTTTCTGCCCTATTTTTAAAATTTCAGCTTTTGATAACAATCGGAGTTGATTTTGGCGTAGATCGATAGAGAACATTGACTTATATAAGGAGAAAAACTTTACATCGTTCTCAAATGAAGTTTGACGGAGAAATTTAACTTTCACCTTCCCGAGGAAATTTTAGACCTAAAAGTATTTTGAAAAAAGCCTTATGGCTAGTTTCGCTCGAAGCAAGCATTTTAAAACAAAATTCTAGATACAAAAGTTGTTCAAAATCGAATATCACGACTTACTAGAGTTACCGAGCGACCAAAAACGAATTCTAAAATTCTTAAGTTAGTCCATATTTTAGCCCGTGAAATTCTCTGTCAGATGAGGTATTGCTTGAATTTTTTCGTTGCGTTGCTATTCTACAAATAAGACTTTATGCTAGTAGAGTAGGCTAACGTAAATTAACGTTAATTAGTATTAATTAGCCAATACCAGGAAGGAAAGAACAAAAATTCTTGCATATTTATATACTTACACTTGCATATTGCATAATAAATATTCTCCACATATTTCTCTATCGATCTAGACAAGAACCAAGGTTTTATGATGAATGGAGAGAGGACAGGAATTTTTTTAATAATAATCCCTTGTTCAAAAAGTTAACAATATTTTTTTAAGTAATTAATTTTTTTCTCAGCCAGATAATGTCAGTAAACCAAAAAAATTTCAGAATATATACTTCAAAGTGTCCTCTACAAACTGGGAACGTTAGAGAAAAATTTAAATGGGAGGACCCCCTTAAACAATTAATAGAATGCCATATAATGGGTGGCGCAGAAATAATGAGGTAATTTTGTTCTCTACCTTTGAGGTACTTAACAATCGTTTTAAAACCTGGTCCTGAGCTCATTCGATAGAAAATTCATTTTTGTACAAAACTGTCGAATGCGTTTTTGAAATTAGTCTTTCCTGTGGGCAAAAAATTCCAAAGATTAACACCTACTCAACTGTCCATCTGTGAATTCTTATTTTTTTCGGATATCAATCGATTTGTTAAAGCGTATGCTCATCAACACCGATGTTCAAACTAAAGTATTTAACATCAATAGATAGAGAATTTTGTGCGCTATACTTCCACGATCTTTTCAAGGTCCTTGGTGTCCTTGTTCACAAGAAAAAGGCTTCGAACTAACACCTCGTGCAATTTTTTGACGCATTTCAGATAAGAAGTTTTTCTAAGACAGACTTGTCAGATGAAAGAAACGTCGACTCTCGTACCGTCGTATGCAGAATTTAATTCAGGACAAAATGGTATAAATTGTGACTTCAACATTGCAATCATTTTGGCTGTTTCGAATTAAAAGAGAACAATGTCATAGGTCTGTCAGGAAATAAGTTTTTTTGGTGTTTTCACATTTTCCACTTCAAAATTTTTCCTCTCAAATATTTCTTCTAAATTTTTGAAAATTGCATCAAAAGATGCAAAATTTTATGTAGAATTTCGTGGTTGTTGTTGTTGTACATTGTTGTACCAATTGTTAAGTACCTCAAAGGTAGAAAACAAAATTACCCCTTTATTTCTGCGCCACTCGTTATTTGGATGATGTTTATTAACATGAATATTGATCGAACTTTTCAACATTTTCCCTTTCGGCATTACTGAGTATTTTCGTGGTTTTGAGACTGTGATTTACAGTGGATCGAATGTGGTATCAAATGTATCTGGTCACTTGGGTAACCTTGACATCGCATGAAACGTACGTATTTTCAACGTATATAGTTTTCGTAAATCTCGATTTTTACCACGTTTTTTTTTGGACTATATTTCAAAAAACAAACTTTGCCGTCGGATTTAGTACGATCGAGTAGGTATAGTCATTTGATGTCACGGTTACTCAAATCACCAGACAACAGGCCCGAAGCTTCAGGAAAATCTGATACCGCGTCCGACTCACGATAAATCAGAGTTTCACCTAACTTCTGTTTTGAATATTATCTTCTAGAAAATCCGTTCCAAATAAATACCTTTTAAAAAATTTCTGCTTATACAGGTCATTCCATTTATTTTGTAACGATTTACATAGACTTTTTCTTCGTTAGTGACTTATACAGATCTCAAGATTCTCATATCAGTCTATCACGCTAATACTACAGATATTGTCATAATACTTATATTTTAGATAAACGAAGTCCAATAAAATATCTGATGATATCGAAGGGATCATCATGTATCTTTTGATGAAAAAGTATTCATATTCTTTGATACAACAAGAATTATCTGAAATGTATTAAAACGTATCATTCGTCGTATTGTTAATAAAATTGGAAAACAGCGCCAATTATGTTTATTAAATAATCTAAAATCAACATTTTATCTTCGATATCATAGAGCAATAGCTACGATTGTTTGTCGTATTACATCATATATAAATAAAGAAAATCCTCAAACTATTCCATGAATAGCTGCAAGATGTCATATTAGTGTTGATACGACTTTTCGTGTTATTCGTGATGTTATTTATGCAAAATGTCGCAAAAAAGATACCAGTGCATCGTTTATGTCCAACTGTTATTGAAAAGAAACGATCCACATAGTGCGATATTACAATCAATCACAAGTGTTGCTCTATCACTGCGATGATAAAATGTTGATTTTAGATTATTTAATAAACATAATTGGCGCTGTTTT